AGTTTGTCGGAAGTTTCAATTTTCGTCCAATTGTTTCTCTTGATAGGAATTTTATTACTTGAGAAAAAGTAACGGAAGTGACCCTTAAGTAATATCCCCTCGAAGAAATTTAGAACTTTTTGAATCATCTGGGGTTATTCTAGCAGTGAGTGATGGTGGAGTGGCAATACATTAAGGTCCATGGAGGAGGACACGCTTGTTAAGCCTCTTGAACAGATGTGGATCCAACATCGCACTCCAGGTCCGAGTCTACTCCTTAACCATTAATGACTATGATTAACCGTAACATTTGAAGTGGTTTTCCATGAATGGTCGGTCAAACGAGGTAATCATGTATAGTAAATGGAAAATGACTTAGATTCAACATTTTTGATAAGGCGAACATAATCATAACGGCATTGCGAGGGACGTCAGACCATATCTAAAAATCTCTTGAAGCCATTTTTCAAATTCCACGCATTCACTTATTGTACTTGTGGAGGCTAAGCGTTATTTGTTTCCTTGCAATCACCACTATGTACATGTCCTGCGAAGTCGTAAACATCTGAAGAAAGTACATATACAAGGAGAACCGTTTTTGACTGAGGTTTGAGTTAGATGTGTATGAAAGAGAAGCGCGAGAAATTTGTAAAATCACGTACGTTAGAAAGAAATATAAGCCGGCTGGCCAGCGAAATTCAGCACCATGCTGCTCAGCAACGCTGATGCAGAAGGTCGTGGCAATCTGCCGCGTTGCCAATATGTTACACCTGAATTATGATGCATGTTGAAATTATGGGTTAGTTCATTCTCTATGCCCAAATAATGGTTTATTTTGAGCGTACACATTTTTGAATTGTATCGAATCCTTTTAGAATCGATTTCCAGTCGGTCCTTACGATGCTCCATTTTAGACAAGAGCTATTAGCGATACTTTTTCCAACAAGTAGTTGAACATCGGTATGGGAATCACTCTCGTTAACGACTTCATAATAAACGCAGAAATGTGATAAACACGTTGTATGATGTATTAACAAAATTCTGTTTTATTTGGTATTCTATTTTCTGGGAATTGGTATGAAATATGGTTCTGACAGTTGTGACGGATTCAAACTTCAGTTCGCGTGTCACCTTCATCGTATTCTACAAGTTGCTTTTATGGTAGGTATCTTAAAAGCTTTCTTGAAACCTTTGCTCCAAAGAAATACTCGGTGGCCACGTTTTTGGGGTGTGTACTTTTCAGACGTTGCAGTAGGACATGTTGATTGAGCCGCTTGTGATCGGTTGACCGCACGGATAGGCATGCATTCTAATGTCAAATCGAGAGCTTGGCATGAATCTGCTGTTAAAAGTAGTGGTTGCTATTTGAATTCACAAAGTCGATCTACAAATAGGCTCTGAAGTCAACGGCTCTCGACGCTGGCAACGCTGTTAGAGCTCTACAACGCTGGCCTATTTCTTATTTCATCATTCATTCAAACGCAACCGTCAGTGGAGGTCATATATTTCCACCATGACAACATACACTCGCGAAAAAAAGGTAGTCTGATATTATGGTACAGTCAGACCACAAGTACAGTCAGGGACGAGGCTACACCACATCTAGCGACTAGGGTCAACAGCGGTGCCATCAGATGTCGAGACGAAATGTCGGCTGATTCATGACAACGCGCGGCCTTGCCGTAAGACGTTGCCACCCGACACAAATGGTGTGCATAAGCGAGCTGTTAGATACCCAAGGACTCATTAAAAATACGGATCACACTGAGGTTTTCTAATACTACTACCACTAGTGATCAATAATTAGTAGGTGTAGTAGCTATACTACCACAGGGAGAAGCAAAGATGTCCTTTAAGATATGTCATTGGGAATCTTAATTTTTGTAACTCGCAATCGACATTTTTTGTTAGACAAAATAACAGTCTGCCTAGGCAGCAGCGGTGGCCGCAATCGTAGACTCTTCGGACTCCTGATCAGTCGCCGTGAGCTGTGCGGGTTCGAATCCTATCCCAGGAGAAATTTTTCTCTTGACTATGGATGTTGTGATTGTCCGTAGGTGGTAGACGGCCTCTGACTGTCGAACGCGGAGGTACCACCCGGAGGATCTCGTAGGCGGAGCCAGAATGTGTGCATATTGCATGCACACGTGTTCCTTGCCAAAGTCCGTGTGGCGTTCCCCCTTTCCCCTGTAACTCCCTATAGCCCCACGGTACCCAATGGGTGTTTAGGCCTTAGGCCTTCGTGGTAGCTAGAGTGTAAAAAAAATAACGCGAATCTTGGACCACGCGGCAATGAGTGTAGATTTGGGTTGCCTATGATTAAGAACGCACATTCTCATTCCTTACTCCGCTTGCTCTGAATTGATCTCGGTGCGTTCAAAAAGTGCAGACTGGTGAATGACTGAATGAATCTTGAAGTTAGAGGAATTCCGGCCACCATAAGGAGCCAGTGCAGAGGCCGCTTAAGCGGGCCCGTATGCACCTCTACATTCCTTAGATCACAAGCCCCGCCCTTTTAGCGAAGTTGAGAATCGCCTTGAGTCCAAGCTCCTTGACGTCCTGGGGGTCCAGAGTAATGGACCCCAGTACAGTCTGCCTATAGTAGCTCAGAGCTTCACAGCGACACAACACGTGGGCCGAGGTCTCTTCCTCTACCCCGCAGGGTTTACACAAGGGATCCTCAGCCACCCCCATCACGTGCAGTTGGCGTCTTAACGAGTTATGGCCAGACAACAGTCCCACCAGCAACCTTAGTTTGGCTGTATCCAGAGATAGGCAGAAACGTCCATCCTTAGCACTGGACCCTTCAATGAGTTCCCGTGCCCGGCGGAGATGTCTGGAGATACTTCTCCATTTCTGAGAGTGTTTTCTTGCAACCCACGTCTTCATTTACCTCCTAGCCCTATGCGCGGTTACTCCTAGAACTGGCTCAGGACCAACAAGCTTGCTGGCTGATCCTATCTTCGCCAGAGTGTCCGCCGCCTCATTGCCCCTTATCCCAGCGTACCCACATTAACGATACCGGATGCCTCGCTGCGAGGCAATCCAGAGCCTCTCTGCATTGCAATACAAGACTCGAAGTAATCTTACAGGCACTTAGTGCTTTCATTGCAGCCTGGCTGTCGGATAAGATTGTTATTCTTCTCCTAGGCTCACCTTCCAGAATGCGAGATACACAAGCCAGAATCGCAAAGATTGCCGCCTGGAAAATAGTGGTGTATCCACCGAGAGGCAGAGATAGCCCAGTTCTAGGCCCAGCACCTGAGCCCTCTTCGGTTACCGAGCCGTCCGTGTACCAGACCTGCCCGCTCACTCCGGAGAGTCCCCGGCTACCGGCGTCCCACTCCTCCCTCGTTGGATACTCCAAAATAAACTTGCGGCCGAAGCGATATTTAGGGGTAATACGATCACTCCTGCTTAGAAGGACGGGGTCGACTAAGATGGCAGTATGCCCCTTGATAGGATTCAAGACAGCCCAGCTGACCTGACTCCACAGTCGATGAGCGACTACTCTCGCTTCACCGCGGATGACCAGATCCAACGGTGGGAGATCCAACAGAGCTTCCATTGCGCTCAATGGCATTGTTCACACTGCGCTTGTAATGCTAATGCAGGCCAAACGCTGAATTTTGAGTTTGGCCTTAGTAATCTCAGTTATAATGCAAGGCCACCAGACCAGCTATATAAGAGAGACTGACGTTCTATCGTCGTGTAGAGCCAGTATATCACTTTGGGCTTAAGCCCCCACCTTACACCGACAACGCGTCTACAGGCACACATTGAATTGCGAGCCTTGCTAACCTATTCAACATGTTCTCTCCAGTTCAGTTTGGAATCCAGGATAATTCCCAGATATTTCACTGATTGGGATAGAATTAATCTAGTCCCAAAGAAGGTCGGCATGACCAGCCCGTCAAGCCTTCTTCTCCTAGTGAATAGGATCAGCTCGGTCTGTTCAGCATTAACAGAAAGATCGACTTCCCTACACCACGATTCCACAGAGCGCAGAGCACCCTACATAATGTCCGAGACTGTTCTACAAAAACGGCCCCTAAATAATATGCTTACGTCATCAGCATAGGCTTGCACGTACCTAACTAGGAGTTAGGGGTGACAGAACTCCGCACTGAGGGCAGCCTCTAGCTACGCTGACGCTGCGGCTTACTTAATTCAGCATAGCTGTTGCTACGCGACCCTCCAGAGTAGATAGGACCCAATCTATTAGGATTGATCCAAACCCGTGTCTTTCTAAGGCATGTCTGATAGAGTCGGTTGTGGTGCAATTAAATGCACATTCAATGTCCAAAAAGGCCACGAGTGCCACTTCTCGCTGATCTAGAATCTTCTTCAGCCTACTGACCAGATTGTGTAAGGCCAGATCAGTCGATTTCCCAACTTGGTATGCAAACTGATTTGCATGAATGACACACCTTTCCAGCGGGCCATCCCTTAAGTATCTATCAACTATCCTTTCCAGTGTCTTAAGCACAAAAGATGAAAAAGTAATCGGACGAAAATCCTTCGGGTCAGTATATCTAGCTCTGCCTGGTTTAGGAATGAATACCACTTTAGCCTGCCGCCAGCTTCTAGGTGTGAAGCCCGTGGCCACACATGCTCGAAACACCTTCAACAGGTGAGGAACAACCGAACTCCGTCCCTGCTGTAACATGACCGGAAATACGCCGTCCAGACCTTGTTTGGAGCAAACGAATCTACTGCCCATACCGTCCTTTCGAAGGTGACAATCTCCCTTGCCGTGCACCAGTCCTCCCCGGAGGGCCTGCGCAACTGCATGCACTCTGTGATAGATCGCGCTACTATGGAACCGGGGAAGTGCGTGTCCATCAGAAGCCTCAGAGTACCTTCCTCAGAAGTAGTATTCCCCCCGAGGGATCATGCAGCGATCCCAATCTTGCTTTAATGTCTTTGCATAGGACCCTGTGTATTCTCGCAGTAGCAGGAATGTCATTTATGGACTGACAGAAGTTCCTCCAGGATTCTCTGGAGGCCCTTCTAATCTCCTTTTTGTACCCCTGCAATGCCTTTTTGCAGTCTTCCCATAGAGGAGAACTTCTCCTGTGCTTAACTCTGCTAAGAAGTTTGTGCACCGCTCGTTTATATGAAGCCGTCAAGCTCCTGCTCAGAGACTCGACGGCTGCTTCTATGTCAGAGCCCCTACAAAGTCTGTATAGGACCGCTCCAGACTTACTGTCAAGGTCTGCCCTATAGGACTCCCATCAAGTATGCCTAGGATTCCGAGCATATTTATTTGGAATCTCGCCATCAGTCTTAAACGGTATATACCTGTGAGCCGATAGAGAGGGTGTTAAAGACACTTTCCAGCCCCTAATGTCCTGAGCTAAGTTAAGCGTGCTCAGTGTTACGTCGATAACCTCTTCTCGTACACTATTGCTAAAAGTGGGCATGTTACGGACATTCAGAACCTCAAGGTTCGATGCCCCTAGGAACTCCATGAGGTCTTCGCCCCGTCTGTTGGTGCCCGACATAACGTGATGGGCATTGCTGTCACATCCAATCACGAGGTCGAGTCCAGAATCCCTACAGAATGTGACAAGATCCCCCATTTCTTTGGACGGAGGAGGCTCTCTTGAATCGTAAAGAAGGTAAGCCGAACATACAACCAGGTCCCTGTCAGAGCCATCCTTCTTATATCTAATTCTAACTGCAAGTACGCCTCTGAAGGTAAATCCTTTAAGTTGCCATGTGTTACCGGAAGTCATTACGCAAGCTCTGGGCTTAGTGCCCGGAGTATCGCTAAAAAGCGTATAGCCCGGTATACTTAGCCCGTTTACTGACCCGTTTCTCAGCCAGGGTTCATGGATGAGAGCCAAGTCATCGAGTGATTTCCTGAGTAAGGGCCCTCGAAACCGCTATGCAGTGTTGTAAGTTAATTTGAAAGAAATTAAGACTTACCATGAGTGTTGAGAGGCCCCTCCTACACCTTCCTGAATGACGGTATGTGTACCCTATTCGGGCTTACCGCCGTCGCCGCCGCAGTCTTCACTGTCGCAGCCGCCTTCGTCTCCGCTTCCACGGAGGAGTTCTCGGACTCGGTTCAGAATTCCGTCCTCGTCCGAGTCGCTATAGTTGCCCTCTGGGGCCAGATCCATCGCAGGGTCCCGCCGCCCCCACGTCCGTCACCTCCGGTGGTTCCAGCGAGAGCTGCCCCGGCCGACCCATCTCCTGTGAAGCAGCCTGGCCTACCAACACAGCTCCCGTCGGTCTGGGCTGGTTCGACTCCTGGTTTGGAGCCAGGCTAGTTCCAGCAGGTGTCGCCCCGATGTTTTTCTCCTTGCTCAGGAGTGTAAACACCCCCGAACTTCCACCGCAACACAGCCTGTTGTCGTTGCCTTCGATGATCTTCCAGCTTATGGACCGTCGTCAGCGCCTCTCTCCGCTTCCGAGCCCTTTTCCTTTCGGAACCTGACCGAGACTTCTTAATTTTTAGAGAGTCCACCCTTTCCGCTAGCTCTCTCGCTAAGTTTCGGACAGATTCTTCTGTCAGAGTACGATCAGGGTCCCCTGGTGAGGGGTTGCCTGGATGTTCGGGGTCCCCTGGTGAGGGGCCACCCGGATGTTCGGGGTCCCCCGTGTTCCGTGTTCCATATTGTTCCCACGAATAAAAGGGAAATGGTGGTCGACGTCCGCGGGAGGTCGCCCGGTGTCCCAGAGGCTCCGTTTAAGGTGCATCCCCACCGCCACGCACCCCTCTGCACGGAATCGCTTAACACCTTGGGTTGAGTAAAGTACCATTGCCCATGATGACCGTCAAGCTGCATTCGCCCCAGATATACATCCTAGACACCTGTGGCTCAACGAATCATTCGATTGGCCGGTCTACCGGCTTTACGGTGGGTCTCCTCAAAAACTAATCGAGGCGGTCCACCACAAGACCGGCATCCCGTTGCCCCCCTATACCGTCGCACACGGTTCAGCGCCCAAGGCCGCCCCGCAGGACGAACTCGAGGACGTACGGGTTGGATTTTGTAGGGGTGTAGGTGGTAGATCACTAAAGAAACCGAAACCTATCTGTTTCAGAAATGACTATCTTTTTAAAATGTGAGTGATTTCATGAGTTCAGGGGTAAAACAGATAAATATTCACAATCCTGTAAGTAAGAATCGAATAAGGAGTTTTCAGAATAGTTGCAAAGGACTTTGAAGGAGCGATTAGTATGCACATTGTACAGGTTGTAATATAGAACTATGCCCTAAAAAAACATGTTGTGTGAGCGCTCAATACAATAATAAACGTTTCTCACAAACTGCGCTGTGTGACTCAAAGATATTTGATCCCCCACTGACCTTCCGACGGCATTCTTCCCTATGCCAAATTCGACGACACTACCCATTCCGGTTATTTTCCGGTCCGGCAACACTGCAGATCACTTCAAAAGCGATTAATATTTGAGATGAAAAATAGGTGGACGCGGATACATTTACAAATATCAATATTTTAGGACTCAGGAATGCAGAATGTTCTGTTGGTTTACATTTGGTGTGAAGTTCTAGATCATAAATTGGTAATAAATTGTTTTTAATTTAACAAAAGATGATGAACTAGTTGGAATACGTTTAATATCCTTTTTGTAATATAAGAAAAATCGGTAGATTTCTACAGGTACGTATTATGTATGTACAACGCCCTGTCTGTGACATAGAGGCAAAACTACCTTGGCATGCATGGACGGTCATCAAAAATAAAGAAAACGTCCTACTAAATCGATCGACCTACTATTTCTTGCATTAGTCCATTCAAATAGGTTCCCATCTGTTAGCCAATCTGTTCCATCTGTTTCCAGCCTAGTATACTACATAAAAAGTAATCAAGAAATATGTTTGCGTATCTAATTTTGAATTTGGAGTTACGATACTCAGTGGAAATTTCGGGAAGCTGATAATTACAATTTCCAGAAATTTTTTTTTTATACTTTTTTCTAGAATCTGCTGCTGATCGCCCTAGGTTGAGTGGTTACTGAGATACAGCCAACGTCACTTATACAATACAGAACCAATCATGCTTTGGTTTTGTAAGCGTCGTGCCTGGAACGACCTTGATTTTAGTTGAGCGGTTTTATATTTCATTTACCTGAAACTCGACCTCAAAGCCTGATAAATACGGCTGCACTTGTTAATAAAGTTATCCCTTTTATCCAGCTTTAGTTGAAATTTCAACTCAACGAATTTATACTTGACAGCAACATTTTATGTAAATTAAAGTTCCTTAAATGGCTGGCGAAAAAAGCTCAAAAGGCCGGCCGGCGATGAGATGAAAAATTTCCTTTAATTTTATTTCGCTTTGAAAAGTATACCGGACGGAAATTGCGCCGCTACCAGAGAAGGTCATACTCTAATCAGTTAAAGAATTTTTATTTTGGCCGAGAATGCCTTTCATCATCAGTTTAGGCGGAGCAATATGAGCAGTTTGAGCTGTACGTCATGTAGGTTATCAGATATGCAGATTCAAGACGAATGACTCTATGATGGTACTTTTGTTGTTTCTAACATGATACCCGATTCTTTAGTCACAAATATTATAAACCCAGTTTTGTATCTAGCATCTGGTTAAATGCGGAACTAGCATTTCTGCCAATTCTGCGATTTTCCACCACTGACCAAAGAGTATTTGATTCGTAAAAAATTTCAGAAATGGAATGTCTTGTTACTTAGATGTTATACGACATGTACGTAAGGAAAAACCATGTCACTCCTTTCCGCCGGTTTGAAGATCTCCTCTAATCCTGGGCAGGTATATAACATAACTCGGATTTTGATGAAATTTCCTCATCAGGCTGCTACCATCCTACTATAATGACGACAACACTTTATCGGTTTTGAAAATCGGTTCGATCAAAATCTAGCAAACTTTGTTTTTGACCTTTCAGAGGCTCGTGCGCATTTTTGAAAATTCTTTGAAGGGTAAAAGGTTGGGAGTTGAGAAGAATGTATCTCAGTCTTTTGGCGGCAGCATATTTATACGCTCCAACACTGATAATTCTTCGCATGCCTCATGCATACTAGATTTCTCACTCATTTGCCTTTATAAGGTAGAAATTATTTTCAACAGACGTGTATCGATCGCACGGCAAAGCAACGCACCTGTGTGGGGTGTCTGACGTCTGACTATTATCGCAGGCAGATCGCATTGCTGGTTATCGTGGTTTAGCAACGTTGTCCGAAAGTTGGTGTTGTTGGGTAAATGAGAATTTATCCTGCTTGCAGCGCTATGATATGGATGGGAACTGTGTAGTGGTTATATGGGCCTGAGTCGACTGACTCAAAGATTCTAACTTGTGCCGAACGAACTCTTTAGGAACTGATGATAGTGCTGCGTAGGGAAGTGCAGAGTCAACCTACTTGACGTCATTTTTTACCGCAAACGATAAATGAGGCGTTGTTCATTTAATGCAGAAGTAATTTAATTCGAAAAGGTATAATAGCAATGTTTTTGTATTAGTAATGAACAGGCCTATATTCAGGAGAACCACACATTTTATTAAGAGACACGAGCACATTCTGCGTTATAGCTTGGGACTAAAGCCTAGACAAAAATAATAAGGAAAATAGCACACAGGGCTAAACCTAGGTTTGTTCTACAGATTTTGAACTTAGGATACCTACTTTTACAGTTAAGCATCATGTCCACGATTCTGCCCCAACAAGAGGTGTTAGTATCATTTTCGAATATTAGAAAATAAAAATCATTGGAGTAATAGATATTTTATCAATAAAACGTTTTGTATGGTAACCAACGCGAGGTCATTTTTTTTCATGAACCTGTTTATAAGTCAACGCCAAACAAAGTGGCGTTCACGTCATCAAGGTGGGTGTGTTGAAAAAATTACATTGTTGCCAAACTTTTTGTAAAATAATAAAATTTATTATTTTACATATCTAGATTTATAAGCAATATTAACCTCAAATGAGAACAAAAATAATAGTATAATAAAATTATAGATCTGTACTTGCATAATCATTAAGTATGACAATTATTGATCAGATGACACTATGAAACTACCATATTTAATTGATAGCTTAAAGGTACTGAATAAAAATCCAAATTTTATGCATGGTATTTATTTTACAGAATTCATACAGAAAAATGCATTCTAAAATTAGGTAAGCTACTGGTGTAAGCTTTTTCTGTACAACAAAGTTAGTCGGAGTTTCTTTCTTCAGCGCTGTCTGAATCTGAATCTTCATCACTCTCAAAGTTGATTATTAAAGGTTCGATGTCTGGTCGATCAAAAATTC